TCCTAGGGCAAGCAATAGAAATAAAAGCAAGAGTAAACAAATGGGACCTAATGAAACTTACAAGCTTCTGCACAGCAAAGGAAACCATAAGTAAAACAAAATGACAATCTATGGAATGGGAGAAAATTTTTGCAAACGATGAAACTGACAAAGGCTTGATTTCCAGAATATATAAGCAGCTCATATGACTTAATAAGAAAAAAACAAATAACCCATTCCAAAAATGGGCAGAAGGCCTAAATAAGCAATTCTCTAAGGAAGAAATACAAATGATCAATAGGAACATGAAAAAATGCTCAATATCGCTAATTATCAGAGAAATGCAAATCAAAACTACAATGAGATATCACCTCACACCAGTCAGAATGGCCATCATTCAAAAATCCACAAATGATAAATGCTGGAGAGGCTGTGGAGAAAAGGGAACCCTCCTACACTGCTGGTGGGAATGCAGTTTGGTGCAGCCACTGTGGAAAACAGAATGGAGATTCCTCAAAAGACTAGGAATAGACTTACCATATGACCCAGGAATCCCACTCCTGGGCATATATCCAGAAGGAACCCTACTTCAAAAAGACACCTGCACCCCAATGTTCATAGCAGTACTATTTACAATAGCCAAGACATGGAAACAGCCTAAATGTCCATCAACAGATGACTGGATAAAGAAGATGTGGTATATTTATACAATGGAATACTATTCAGCCATAAAAACAACAACATAATGCTATTTGCAGCAACATGGATGTCCCTGGAGAATGTCATTCTAAGTGAAGTAAGCCAGAAAGAGAAAGAAAAATACCATATGAGATCACTCATATGTGGAATCTTAAAAAAAAAGACATAAATACAAAACAAATAGACTTATAGACATAGAATACAAACTTGTGGTTGCCAAGGGGGAGGAGAGTGGGAGGGGACAGACTGGGATTTCAAAATTTGTAGATATTGACAGGCATATGCAGAATACATAAACAAGATTATACTGTATAGCACAGGGAAATATATACAAGATCTTGTGGTAGCTCACAGTGAAAAAAATGTGACAATGAATATATGTATGTTCATGTATAACTGAAAAATTGTGCTCTACACTGGAATTTGACACAACATTGTAAAATGACTATAACTCAATAAAAAAAAAGGAAAAAAATTTAACAATCAGTAGAGATTTAACATATGACCACAAGGAGGAGTATGAGATAAATTTGGTCATTGAGAATGCCATAAAAGAGGCGTAGGTTAGACTTCTGAGAGGCTGGGAGAGAAAATGATGAAACCAAATGTAAGGAACAGGTTTTCCCCCTTATTTCTAAGATGAAAATGATCTACAGGAAGTCAAGTATGCATAGCACACAGATGAGGACACATCCAGAGCGGCCCTAGAAGAGGGAGATGTGGAGTACTTAACTGAAGCCCTGGTCAGGTAGAGAGCCAGGAGCACGATCATGACAAAACTAAGTTGGGCCTACCTGGCTGGTAAGCTTATTTTTAAGATGTCTTGACTGAAAACAAGTAAGAACTACAAAATAGCAATCCAAGGACTCCAAATTACATTTAAAAGACTCATACTATATATTTATGTATGTATATATATAAATATATACACACACGCACACACACACACACATATATGTATTTTAATTTGTATTCTTACCCAGAATAGGATACTTTTTAAAATTATAATACATTATTGTACTCTGAGTTTCTGAAGAATAAGTACTGGATCAGAAATTTTTTTTATTGTTCTTAGCACCTAAAGTACTAAGCTCTTCACAGATACTCAATGAATGCCAAATATGAACAATGTGAACATTTTTATCATAAATAAAAAATGAAATAAACCTTTCATATACTCTCTACCTGCCTTCTCCACTTTGAACAAGTTTTTTTTAATTAAACTTTTTCCTCATTAAAGTGAGCATCATTCTTATTTTAAACTTCAATTTCTTGCCATGTCCCTGATTCCATACTCCAAAGAAAGAGTATTAAAATATCAAGGTACCAGGAAACTTCTAAGCATATGAACTTTCCTTGCCTCTAAGTAACCACTGAATACATCCTACCATCTCCGTGTTAACTGCTATAACCCAACTTCAGAACTCAATCATTGTCTCACCTAGATTACCATCATCCTCCTTCCTACTCTCCTTCCAATTTCGTTTCCCATCTGCTGACCGGCAAATCCGATGATGCCTGATTATGAATACCACAAAAAGAAATAATCATAATGGAATGGAAGAGTACAGTAGCACTCCCAAACATGAGGAAAACAAAAAGAAAAGAAGAGATGTTTGATGAAACTAATAAAGAACAAAAAAGAGAAAACAAATTCAAATAACTAATACATATAAGATGATAGAAATAAAAATCAAGTATATTGACTTTGAACTAAATGTGGATAGAATTCTCCTAACAAAAATGGAAAGCATTACACCGGGTTTAAAAATGAAACACAGAATATTCTGTTAAAAAAAGATATACTTAAACAAAATGTAAGCTAAAAAAAAGTAGAGACACTAAGATTCCATGAACATGCAAACAAAAAGAAAGCAAAGGTGGCATTATTAATATTAAATAAGGTGGTATTAGGCTTAAAATCACAAAAACAGGATAAGAAAGGTTTATTATACAATGATAAAATATATAATTCATTTAAAAGTATACTAGAAATAGACTTACAGATACAGAAAACAAATTTATGGTTATGGGGGAGAGGGTGGGACGGGATAAATTGGGAGTTCAAGATATGCAGATACTAATTACTATATGTAAAATAGATAAACAACAAGTTTATACTGTATAGCACAGGGAACTATCTTTAATATATTGTAGTAATCTACAATTAAAAAGAATATGAAAAGGAGTATATGTATGTACATGTATGACTGAAACATTATGCTGTACACCAGAAGTTGACACAGCAGTGTAAACTGACTATACTTCAATTTGAAAAAAGGGGAAAAAAGTATACTGTAACAGGACATTAAAATAGGATTCTGGTCCTAAAATAAGCTGAAGTCCCAAGAATGTGTTATGCTATCTTCCCATGTGAGCTAAGTAAACTCAATGGAAAGAATCAGACTAGGTTCACCTTGGATTGGAGGGTTGTCCAGAGTGGTATAGCAACCCGTCAGACATGTGGAACTCTCACAAGTCCAGGGTTTGAGGGCTAAAGTTGTTAAGCAACCACTAGAGATGCATTCATTGCATAACAGGAAGTATAGTTGGAAGGCTGAGGGCTATTTAATCCAGGCCCACAAAAGTACCCCACAAAATAGAGAGCCAGCACTAAAAATATGACAAATCCTAACAATCAAGTAAATTTTTTCCTTTCAAAATTCAACATTTTGAAATTTTATAGCAGTCAACCATAGAGAATTGTTTGTAAAAAGGAGAGATTTGCAAATGCTCATTATTAATCCCCTTAACAGTCTTCATTTTTATTAGTTTCTTCTATTTGATACTACCAAAGAAAACCTAGAGGAATGAGAATTAGAAAATCTACCCTATCAAAGAACCACCAGAACCTGGAGGTACTCTTAAAAGTATAAAATTTCTATTTTATGGAATGTCTCCAAGCATCTAGGCATTTTTACCAAGATGATGAAAGCAAGTTCATAAAGAGAATCAGAGAATCTAAACGCTTCAAACTAATGATCATTATATTTCCACAAAATGCCCACAAAATTAGTAACACTGAAGAAATGTAAACCTCCTACTTATTTAAAGAAGTTCTTTAATTAAGGGGAAAAATCCACAAAATTTAAGAATGTAATTTCTATTCTTATTTACAATTGTTTAAGGACTCTAATGCCCAGCAGAAAAAAAAATTGCTCTTAACAGGTAGTAATTTTAACAGTTTTCTTTCATTCCAGCAATCTGAAAGAGTCTCAGGATAAAATTCAATTTTTTCTGCATTACACATTAGGCCCTTCTTTATCTGATTCCTAAATACCTTTCCATCTCTCACTATGTCCCCATATGTCCCCCTTCTTACCTAGCCACTGTTTCTTACCTAGCCACATATAAATACAAGAACACTTATATGTGGTTCTTCAAGTGTAACAGACTCTTTGTTGCTTTGTCTTATTCCATGCCTTTTTCTTTCTCTGCCTAAAAGGTTCTTCCCTCTTTCTTTCACATGAGTAATTCCAACTCATCTTTAAGACAGCATATCCTGATGTCTCCTCTCTCTCCCCTCTCCCTCCCACCGCAGGCTGAGTTACCTCTCTTTTATACTCACATAATATTCTGTGTATTCTCTTATGATAGTCCTTATATTACAAAATTTTCAGTTATCTCCTGCCTTCCTCATTAAATGGTAGTATTTTTTAGGACACTGACCATGTCTAGTCTACCTCTGTACTCCCAAAAGCTACCTAGCAAAGGACTTGCCACACAGAAAATACATGTGTATATGGTCTAGCTATTTGTCTCTTTCTCATGTACACATATACACACCCAAAAATATTGAGTCATATTCATTTTGGACATATGTCTGGTGGGCTGGGGAAGAAGTTACTTTTCCACAAATGATTTCTTTGCTGTTTCAAAATTTACAATTTGTAGGCTTGAAAATTTCCTCCTATAGTTGTCATTCCTTTAAGAAGTATTTTTAATTGAGACCATAATCAAACACATGGTGGATAACAACTCTAGATTATAGCAGGATCATGTGTGAATCAAAAAAGTTTATTAATAAGTGTAAGAATCCCCATCTACTTGGAGTAAAAAGCAATGCAAGAGATGAGGATGGGAGGAATGTTATTTTAGAAAACAATATTCTACATGACAAAGAACTCAGCTAAGGTTCTGCAAACCAATCGTCACTGGTCAATAATCCTATAATCTGAGACTAGGATAAAAGGTGGTACCTGTTATCTACTTGATGCTTTTTAATAACTTTTAAAATTAAATGAATGATTTAGGTTTTCCTTTAATAAACCTCATAAAGCAAAAAAGCCTTAGATTATTAGGTACCTAATTTCCAAACTATTTAAGAGGCACCAGAATCTGAACACTTTTTCATAACACAGTAATACAAAGGCTAACTTACCTACAATGTCTCGTACTGAATTGCTTTTTCATTTCCTTCAATTTCAAAGGAAGCAAATGAGAAATATACAATAAAGTGCCCCTGCAAATTTAATTAACCTTAGGGAAACTGTCAGAGGCAACTGATACACTCTGACATAAAAGCAGGGACTCAATATATAGTGTTGATTGATAAAAATAAGAAAAAGATGGAAGACTAGATAGAGAATAGAGTTTGCTTGCTATACCTCTGAACATGACAAGCCATCTCATAAATGCTTACAAGAGAAAGTGGATGATCTAGCACAAAACCATTCCTATTACAAAAATTAAACAAAACAAAGGGGAAAAAAATCTCAGAAAGTCCAGTGTTCTCTACAATAAAGTATAAAGTTAAGTCTTGGTTTTCTCTGAGAACAGATCAAATCAATACAGAAGAAAAAAAAAGAAACAACATGAAAGCTAAGAAGTTTCTAACTCAAGGACTGAGGGAAAAAAGCATACAACAAAGAATTTGTGTATTTATGTAAACAGTATTGAACAGTGTTACTGTGATACACCGGAACATTTTAAAATGGGTGAAACTTTTGGTAAGGCCTCCCTGACCTAAACTTTCTTTTCCAACCCATTCCCCAAATTATTGCTAAAATCACTCCCAAAGCACGAATCTAATCATGTTAGCTCTCTGCTTAAAAACGTCTAATGGTTCTCTAATACCTATGAGATAAACTCCAAATTCTGTATTATAACATAAAAGATTCCTCATAATATAATGCCCATCTACCTTTCCAGTCACTATTCCTATCAGTCATTTTTTCATTACCCTGTAATTTACATTAATTCATTTATTCCACAAAATTCTTGTTCTTTCTCATTGGAGTCTTTCAGATACTGTTACTTTGGCCTAGAATATTCCACTCCCTTCTACACAATGAAATTCTACTTGTCCTTTAAGTCTCAGCTCAAATAGTATCTGCCTTTTAAAGCCTTTCAAGATTCCACCAGGCAGAGTATTTAATTCTACTTAGGTGCTTAAACAGAATTTGTCTATGCTCTAATCTATCGCACTAGATGTTTGTGTCTGTCTGCTGTGACAGATTAGGACTAGAAGGTAGGGGATATGTTATTATTCCTAGTTTGGAATACAAAATTGCTCATAATGGTGATTTAATAAATATCTGTTTAGACCTCTAATTATTTCAAATCACTTAATATGATAGTTCTCAAAACTTACACAGTAGAGTTTAAGTATTTTAAGATTGCTTTACCTAAAATAGTTGAAAATAAGATTTTTTGCTGTTCTGTTTATTAATTACTTTAACTGACTACACTACATGAATTGTGCAATTATTTTCATTTAAATTTAGTGGAAATCCTGCAAAAAGATCTCTTCAATCTAAATATATAGAAATACTCACTTCTATATTTGGCAGAGTAATTGTCACTTGTTCACCTTTGCCGACTTCAAGCTCTCCTTCACAAGAAGTGTCAATAGAGGCAGGTTTGAAGTCATCTAAAAATAGATACAGATACAGATTTTTACAAGATGGAACAATATCTTAACATCTGTATATCAAAAATATGAGCATGCTTCAGAGTGATAAATCATTTTTCAACAGCCAGTAATTAAAAAGGGTTAGAAGGGTCTTAATGTTACAAATAAAACACAATACAGTTTATTTCTGTATGTGTAATTCTGAGAAAAAAAGAAATAGCTATACTCTAAAACAATATTCCTCAAATCATGATCCCTTGGGATTCTGTTTACATCAAGATGAACTAGACTAAGGTGTTCTACTGCTAAAAACTAAATAATGTCAGTATCTTCGCAATTTGCTAAAAACTGTTATCAGTAGAACATTTTCAATTTTCAGCCTTATTCTCCCATACATTTTTAAAAACCATCTTCGGCACCTACTACCACTTGCCTGTTGTCCTAGCAGAATACAAAATGAGTGAAAACACAGCACACATATACTTAAGGGGAAACTTTTTTAAAAAATTTATTTAGTTTAACAGCTTGAGTTTTTAATAGAAATATATACCACTAAAAGATGTGTAAATTTAACTAAATCTGCCACTTCAGAAGAAATTAAAAGTTTTTGTTTTGAATTAAATCATAATTCAAATGATATTAAAATATATCACTGAGAACAAATTTAGGGTGCTGAGATAGTTCATATACTGAACAAGCTTAAAAACCACTAAGATATGAAAGTTACTTGAAAAATAATTCACATCAATATATATCAATGACTAATAATAATTCTGATATAGAATTCCTTTGCTATTGCCAGATTATCTTCTGTTTTTTTAAAGAGAGGCCGGTAATCCAGAATTTTGTATAGAAGATCTTGATTTTGGGATATTTACAACTAATTCATATTAAAACAACTGTGTGAGTCAAAGAAAGCATCTCTAAATTCAAAATCAGCTGATAGGCTGTTAATCTATAACCTCTGTTCAGTGTTTAAAAACTGATTCTTTTTCTTTATATCATTACTTTTGATTTTTATAACAACTCTTTGAGTTGAATATTCTCATCCATATTTTACCAATGGTGAATCCCTCTAAAGTAATGAACTCAAGCCACATACTCTACCCACTCCATATTATATAGTCTCTTTGCCTTAGATCCACAGTTCTTTTTTAAAAATTTATTTTTTTGAGGGGTGGTAATTAGGTTTACTTACTTATTCATTTATTTGTTTAATGGAGGCACTGGGAATTGAACCCAGGACCTCATGCAGGCTAGGCACATACACTACCATTGAGCTATATCCTCCTCCCTTGATTCACAGTTCTGAATTTGTGTGTGTATGTGTTGGGGCAGCAAGGGTGGTGTTAGATGAGGGACAGTTATAAGTCCCTATGGGAATCTGAAGAAATTATAGACTAGCCATAGATCCTCTCTGCAGAAAAATGCATTTATTAACATACATATCAAATACTATGTAATTTCAAGGGATTCACAAGCCCTTGAAGCCCATACATAGATGTTCACAGGATATTATAAGATACCTATAACGGACAGAAATGTACTCAAAGTATCTGCAGCTTTACTTAATGATAAGCAGTAATTTATAACCAGTAAGTCTAGCAAAATTATTCTGAATCTATGTTTCTAATTATTTTTACTGTTAGAATTAATAAATTCCAGTTTTTATTACTTGTTATATTAAGTAGTGTTGTCTTCTATTTACCTTCATACAAGTTTCTTTTTAAGAATACAACTTATGAAACTGTACAGCTACCTGTGAAAGACAGAAATTAGAACATTCTCTAACACCATGTACAGAAATAAACTCAAAATGTATTAAAGACCTAATGTAAGGCCAGATTCTATAAAACTCCTAGAGGAAAACATAGGCAGAACACCCACGGACATACATCACAGCAGTATATTTTTTGAACCAGCTCCTGGAGTAATGGAAATAAAAACAAAAATAAACAAATAGGATCTAATTAAACTTAAAAGCTTTTGCACAGCTAAGAATACCATCAACAAAACAAAAAGACAACCAACACAATGGGAGAAAATATTTGCAAATGATGCGACCGACAAGGGACTAACTTCCAAAACATACAAACAGCTCATACATCTTAATGTCAAAGAAACAAGCAATCCAATCCAAAAATGGGCAAAAGACTTAAACAAGCAATTCTCCAGTGAAGACATACGAATGGCCAATAAACACATGAAAAAATGCTCAGTATCACTAATTGTCAGAGAGATACAGATCAAAACTATGAGATATCACCTCACACCAGCCAGAATGGCCATCATTGAAAAGTCTACAAACGATAGATGCTGTAGAGGGTGCAGAGAAAAGGGAACCCTCCTACACTGCTGGTGGAAGTGCAGACTGGTGTAGTCACTACGGAGGACAGTACGGAGGTTCCTTAAAAAACTGAAAATAGACTTACCGTGTGATCCTGAAATCCCATTCCTAGGCATATAGGCAAATAAAATTCAAAAAGACATGTGTAAGCCAATGTTCATAGCAGCACTATTTACAATAGCCAAGACTTAGAAACAATCCATCAACAGATGGCTGAATAAAGAAGATGTGGTATGCATATACAATGGAACACTACTTAGTCATAAAAAAGAATAAAATAATGCCTTTTGCAGAAATATGGATGGACCTGAAGATCATCATTCTAAGTGAACTAGTCTGGAAAGAGAAAGAAAAATTCCATATGATATCACTTACATGTGGAATCTAAATAATAATAATAATAATAATAATAATAATAATAATAAGGATACAAATGAATTACTTATTATTTATAACTTAGATGATTGATTTCTTGAATATGTGTAAGCACATTTGACTGTCCTGTATGATTGGATCACCACATTTTTGTTGATTCTAATTTTATGGTTAGCTTTACTCCTTTGATACCTATGTAAGTTTAAAAAGCTAAAGCTCTAATCTTTTCTTAGAAACAATGATTAGTAAATATATATAAACTAAAAAAAGTACAGTATATTGTATATATTGTATTTACATGCAATATAATGTATATGTGCAGTGAAACTGTAATAATTCTACCTAAAAAACTGAAAAAAAAAGAAAAGAAAACAAAAGAATACAACTTATGAGTGTCAAGGGGTTAAGAATAGCTCTAGAATTACAGAATTTGTTGAATGATTTTCATGTTCATGCTTTCCAAATGCTTCCAAATGTCAAATCTATTTTCTTCTAAGTTGCTGATTCCAGGCCAAATAGTTTATTTCTTTTAGTTCTTAGTTTGGAAAACTCACCACTAATTTTATCATTTATTTATTCTCTCTGGCTTTCCTTCATCTATATTATTTTCTTCAGGTTTATAATATAATTACTAATATTACATAAAGAGTAGAAAAACATTTCCTGCTTTGTACTTAATATTTTTCTGTTAGTGTTGCTCACTTTTCTGACTACTTGGCTGTAGCATCACACAATGTCAATATCTTCATGAAAGAGTCCACAATTAGTATCATAAATTTATTTCCTGGGATTTGAATTAATTTAACTAACTCTAAAACCCACATCCTTTCCAATATACCACACTAATCAGAGAACATTAACTGTAAATATAATTTTAATCCTATATTTCATTAGCATATTTTCTAATATTTGCTCACACCAAAGCTTAACAACCACTTTTTTTGGGAATGGGATGGCTCCCCTTGATGTCCCAGACAATCTTCCTGTAGTCAATGCCCATGAGCTCATTATTTTGTGACAGCAAAAAGTGGTGTCATTTACAGCCTTAAGAATTTCAATCTTTACTCCCTTATATGATATAAATTGTAAAACTAGTATTAGCCCAAACCAAAATTTATTCTAGTGAGTCCTGTTGCTCAAAGTCTTCTACCGAGTGAGGCATCTGCTGCTAAGCATTTAGTTTATCATTTATGGAACATCCCACGTCCTCCCTACCACACGCCAAGCTATCTTTTTGATAGGTTTTATTGCAAAGCCCTGATAAATGGTTTTTGAAAGTCTAAGTAAATTACATGTATTGGTACTTCTTATACACACATGAATATAACCCTTCAAGAATAATGGTGACTACTATTTATTCTGTCCAAATACTGTGCTAGGTTGTCAATACTATCTTATTTAATCCTGAAACTCTGAAATGTAGATATTATTATCACTATTTCACATATAAGAAAACTGAGGATGAAAGCTTAGATAATGTTACTGAAGGTACACTGCATACATAGGTGGTAAAGGTCAGAATTCATATCCAGGTTTTTCCAAAGCCTCTGCATACTGAACAGGTACAATTACCTAAGTACATAAAGATAGGATATTACTTTCTTTCAGGTAACACTGTTTTGAGTGTTATAAATTAAGTCCACCCTGAACGGAATTAAGAGGTACAAACCTCCAGTTATAATAAACAAGTCACAAGGATGTAATACACAACATAAGGAACACGGTCAATAATATTGTAATAACTCTGTGGGGACAGATGGTTACTAGACTTATTGTGGTGATCATTTCATAATGTATGCAAATGCCAAATCATAATGTAGCACACCTGAAACTAACATAGTATTGTATATGAACTATGTTTCAATAAAATTTTTAAAATAAATAAATGTCATGCTAAAATGTATTTGAATCATCCTTACGAATTATCATGATACTTTCAATATTTTCACACCCTTCCTGTTAAAAAACTTAGATTATAACAATATTTACATTGAGTGAATGAATGAAAATTGTGAGCATTATGTGAAACTGATACTGGAAACTGTATTTTTCACATACCTATCAATTTAAAGGCATTTAATAATTTTAATAAAAAATGAGAATGGTTGAATTTATTGCTTCATTCTATAGGTAAGATGAACTTAGCAACTTAAAGTGAATTGCCTAAAGTTCCACAGTTTATAGAAAAGCTGAATTAATGTATTTGTGTATTTTCTGTTCTACTTCATTACAGAGCTTAAACATGAATATATTTTTTAAAAAATAGAAACAAGGTCTTATTTATTCTCCCTGAGGAAAAACATACTTTCAAGTGTAGTACTGATAAATAAAATAAAAATAATAAATATTCTTTGTTTCCAGAAAGAAAAATGTACAATTAAAAGAAAACAAATTAGGTTCACCTGTATCAAAGTCAGAACTCCTATTCTATAGTTTCTATCCCTCACTCTGAGTCTTTAAGAGTAAGAATTATATGGGAAATGAACCTATCCTCAAGAATAATGATTGGTTTTATTTTAATAAATCTAGAAAAGTTCTATCTGCTTCAACAAGAAGAATAAAACTAAGGGCTGAAAAACTTTATAATGTCTTCCATAGGACTAAAAGTGTATTCAAACATCTGGGTTTATTGTGGTTATTATTATTGCTGTTCTATTTTCATTTTTGTAACTGGATCATCCAATTCTCTAATTCTGAAGACACAATTCCAGCATTTTGAAAATTTTTGTTTCTTGAGCAAAATTGTGTAATCTTAAACCTTGTAATTAAAAAAATTAATACTAAGACTACTGCATACCTAAGAAAGAAGAGGAAAGGAGAGAGAGAAGATATTATTTGAGAGAAAGGCACGGAGAAACCAGATAAGAACTATATCATATTTTTGGAAAACGAGACTGAAGAAAGAGAGAAACTGCACAGCCAGCACTAGCTGTCTCACTGTGGTAAGCCCTGGACCACAAAGTATGGTAAAGAAGAACAAAAAGGAACACTATTGAGATCTGTTTGCAAATGTCTTCCCATTTATTCTATCAATTGGATATCAATTTTGCTAAATAAAACCCTTTTATAAAATGTAAATATATCCATGGAGAGTTAAACCTGTTGGTTCTTCATACCTTTACTGTGAGTTACTGTAATTAGATTGTGTCAAACTTAAGTAAACTTTTGTAAAATGTGAATTTTAATTGGGTGTTCTGATTGAAGCATGAAACACTTCAGAATAAAAACCATAAAGATCTTTGAACAGTCTAAGGCCAGAATAACTGAAAAAGGTGGAGTGATGAGACACTAAGGAAGGGCAGGGCTAGCAAGAGGAAGTGAAATAATACCTACTTTACAATTTGCCACAGAAAAATAAGAGGTTATGATTCAATGATCTCAAAGTTTCCTTCCCACTCTATAATTCTATGAGGACAAACAATAAATGTTTTACATACCAAATCATAATATACTATATTTTTCTTCCTGAAACTTACATCATCCAATTATTAAAGCAAAAGAGCTCCATTTTCTACTTCAACAACATAAAATACAAAAATGTACCAAAACTAGTTCCAGAGGACAACCAAAAGGAAACCAAAAGGATAAATCATAGGGGGGAAATATCTTTCTAATAAATTAATAATACATCCTTCAATACTTTGATAACCAGTATTTGATGATTGACTGAAATTGGGAGTCCAAAAGAGATACAGATTATTAAAATGGTCCAGAATCTCTCTCTGGGAACACACTTAAATAAGAACCCTCATCAGCCAGAAATACCTAAAGTAAAGAGACTACTTCCCCACCAACCTAAAGGCAATCCCTTTCCCCAGCATAGTAATAGTTCAGTCCTTCGCTCTCTTCCATTTGTCACCTTATTACAGTTGTCCCTTGAATAACAAGGGTGTAAACTGCAAGGGTCCACTTCCATGCGGATTTTTTTTCAATACATATAGTATCTGTATTTTCATCTTTAGAGATCTTTAAATTAACGAAGTGTGGGAAAAGTTTGTTCGATTAGAGATCACAATACGCGGAATCAAAAGAACTAGGGGTTGAGTCCTGATTCTATCCAAATGGTTTCAGCTTCCGGACCTTGGGTGAGTCACGTATCAATTATTTAGTTTTTGAGGCAGAGAGAGCAATATGTGGATTTTCCACTGCGCGGGATCCACGCCCCTAACCCCTGCCTTGTTCAAGGGTCAACTGAATTTTCCCTTCCATCTCTGCATCATCCACCAGTCATGTCTATCTCCATCCATAGTCACCCCTGCAGACTTCCACAAAATACCCCTTTCTGCCTGTTGGTCTTAACTTAAATTTCTGCCCCAAATTACCCACAGCTGTTCCACGCAGCTGCTTCCACCGATACCCTAGGACGCGGGCGGGACAAGGCAGTGGATCACGTTGGGCACCCATTTTCCCTCAGAGTAAGAAGGTATGTGCCAACACAACTTGGGGAGGGTTGTCTTTCTGCACCCGCATAACCAGAGCTCCCCCTTATCCCTCCCGGCGTCGTCCGTACTCACAGCGTACAGTGTGGAAGGCGCAGCGCGGCTGCTTCTCAAAACTCTCGCCTAACTTGAGAATCCGCTCGCGACTGTCAATATGCGAGGGTCTCGCTACTCCATTCATCATTATCCTCCAGCTCCGACTTGGCTTTGGCCACCAGCGCTCACTACCATCTGCCACCTCAGCCTAAAGCAGCTGCACTTGGTGCAGCCGGCGCAGCCACCACAGACCCCGCCCCGCGCCGGACAAGCGCGGCCCCTCCGGCGCCCCTCGCGTGCTGATTGGCTACCTGGAGAGGGCGCCCCGCCCCTTGGCCCCGAGGCTCCTGGTCCCGCAGCCCCGCCCGCCTTCCCGCGTTGAGACGCACGCCGCCCCGAGAAGGCCGCGCTTCTGAGGTGCGCGGTGGGAGTCGGGTCCTTTGATGGAGGAACGTGAAGCGGGAATGAGGTAGCGGACCTGAGGTGCCAGTTAGGGAAGCAGAGGGTCCCGGGGTACCGGGAGGCCCGGATACTTGGCTTCTGGACCAAGTGACCTGGCATTTAGGCGTTCTCAAGAGAAGAGTCGGCCTGCTCCACGCCCTTTCTGTGGAGATCTGGGGTGGAAACTGAGGCCTGGGGAGGGGCGGGGCCTGGGCACGAGGCCTGGTGTCTTGCCCAAGGCCTCGCAGCGCCAAAGCGGGGTCTAGAATCCGGAGTACAGGAGCGCCGCGGTCCTTGGACCTGACCGGAGCGACGCCGTTACCTCAGCAGTCGTCTTCTGACTATGTTCCAGAGCAAGTTCCCGGTGGTATTAGGACCGCGACAGAGAGCAAGGGTGGGGGGGTGGGGGGTTGGGGGAAAGACGGGAAAAAGGTTCAGAGTTAGGAGCTGCAGATATTTAGGCTCGTTTGCAACTAGATTGGGTTGCCTTCTTCACTTCTTTCCTTCACAGTGATCCGTGGAGGCAGTAACCGCACGGCCACGGAGACAAACTTCCCAGAAGGTCAAGGCCGGAGCTTGTGCTCTGGCAACAGGGTAATAGCATTAATAACTGAAGAATAATTGTCTTTTTTTCCTGTCAGAAGTTCGTGAGTTTAAGGGTAAAGATGAGAAAAGTGCTGTATTAGAGGAGAAGCACCCAAGAGAATTAGTTTACAAATGGTTGCCATAGCAGTGGTGGTTTTTCAGGGTAATCACAGAATCAGACTACTCCTTTACTTTACCTTCGCGTATTGTAATTTATTATTCCAAGTAGGTAGATGAATGAGTCTCCCTCAACCTATCTGTTTGTCTAAATTCTACTCTTTTAAGGCGTATTAAGACTGTTTCCTTGGTAGTTAAGGGCTCAGGTTCTGGAGCCAGAATCTCTGAGTTTGTACCCCAGCGTCATACTCTACAGTGTGACTTTGTAAAACCAAAGTTAAATGTGCTCATCATTAAAATTGGGGGAAAAATAATAGCACTTATACCTTAGAGTTGTTGAGAGGATTAAATGAATAAACACATGAAAGCATTTAAAACAATTCATGGGCATACAGTAAAAGTTCTCCAAATGGTTATTGTTTTTGAGAATTTACTGTCATGCAACACTTTAGGACCATCCTTGGTAGCTGCCTTCTATTCTAACTCTTGAATTATTCTAAGAGGTAGTAATTATTATTTTGTTTACATATAAGAAAGCTTGTTCAGGGAAGCCCAGTCCTCTGACTTTGTGGTCTTTATCCTCATCATCTGTGTCATCTTTATGGCATTTAACATATTTTACATAATTAAATATTTTATTTTACATATGAGTATATATGGATATGTGTGTATCCTTTTCCAGCCAGAACATAAGCGAGGAATCTGCTGTATAAAATCTTTGTGACCCTTGCATCTAACATAGGATTATGCACACTTTTGGTGATGATGATAATGTTTCAGTGATGTTTTGTTACATTAGCCAGTGGGCAAGAACGGTGTTTTAAGCCTGTTTTATCTTAAAAAGGCTTTCAACTAGAAATCTGAGGTTTCCATTTACTAACAAGGAGAAAAGCAGAGCATCAAGAAATTGAGGTTTTGGAATGCCCAAAATTTGTATATTTATTAATTCTTTCAACATTTATTAGTATTAAATACCTACCACATCCCAAGCACTAGTCTAGCCTTTAGGAATATACCAGTGAACCAAAGAGATAAGAAGGTGGCCACCGAGGATGGTATGAGAAGCTTACCTTCTAATGAGAATTTTCTCTCATCATATGTTGAAATGAACTATATTGTACTAGCCCAGGAATAAACAGATACACTAATGAACTAAATAGAATCCAAAAATATACCCAAGTGACGTTTCAGGTTGTTTCTGTTGTATGCATTCCTGATAAGTTACCTCAGGAATTTATGACAGTTACGTGCACTTGTTCTTTTCCACCAATCTGTAACCTCATCTAACTTAAAAAATTTAATTAGCTTCCTTACACCATTCACAAAAATAACTTACATGTGAATTGAAGATATAAATAAAGCTATAAGTAAATGAAGATATAAGTAACACAAAACCATAAAAACAATTTAAAAAGTGAGAATATATTTTAACTTTTAAGATAGAAAGGACCTTTCTAAACATGACATGAAAGGCAAAAGCCATAGAGGGAAAGATTGTTATACTTGACTACATAAAAACTGTAAAACTATAATCAGACTTAAAAAAAAAAAAGTCAGGCAAGGAGAAAATGTTTACAGCCAGTATAAAAGATTAAGGGTTCACATCCATCTGTGAAAAGCTTAAAGCTTCTACAAAATAATAAGACAAGCCAGTAGAAAAATTGTTGGGGAATATGAATAGAAAAATATATAAAAGAAGAAATGGCCAGTGAACATGAAAGCTTCCTAACCTCCCAATTATCAAAGAAATAGAAATTAAAATAAGATGATAACCATTTTTCACCCAGCAGATTGGCAAAAACATAAAATATAACATTATGTATTAGTGAAGGTATAGTAAAACGATCACCTTTGTACATTGTTGGAAATATAAATTGGAACACTCATTTTGGAAAAAAATTTGGTATCTAATCAAAAATTTCAAAATATGTATCCTCCTACCCAGCCACCTAACTTCAAGGGAAATTCAGCCTGCAAAGTACTATCATGAGTACATAAAAACTTGTACTTTGATATTCATTGCAGCATTGCTTGTAATAGCATACACTAAATGACTTCTAATAGAGGAGATGTTTAAATATATTTTGATGCACTCTAGAAAGAATGCAATATCCATTCCCTTGGAAAGTTTTATGCCTACTATGTGCCACAAGTAGTGGTGCTGGGCTTGCTTTAAAAATATTTCCAAAAAACTTGTTTTTTAATGATTTATATTTTACCTATTTAAGGAATGATCTTTGGATCCATGTATTATGGCCAACTCTTCAGTATAAAGAATGAACTGTAGTACCAGTTATGAAGAATAATAGCTTAAAAAGTGAGTTAGGGAAAAAAAGTGAGTCAGAAGTAGGTCATTTGGGAATATGTTTTGTGTTTCTTACTCTTTTACATGGGAGGCAATATAATGAACATTATATAAAATGGTAAACTAATCTGGATTTGTATACTGACTCCACCACATCATGCTGGTAGAACCATGACAAGTTTCTTAACTTCTTTGAGCTTTACTTTTTTTAAATCTGTAAAATGGAGATGATTACAGGCCCTACCTCATAGTCCTGTTGTGAGGGCTAATAAGATAATGCATTGGAAAGCACTTAGCACAATGCTTAGTTTATAGTAAACACTTAATATATGTTAGCTTTCATTAATTGTAAGTAAGTAAAGATTTTACTTTTTAAAAAATGATATCTTTGAGGTTTGAATGCCTTAAATTAAAACTTTTATGAAGAAAAATTTTAGCAACAAATTAAATTGTAATGTGGATTTTTTTAAAATTTTAAGACAATTGATTTTATTCATTATGCTATTTATAAACAAGCTTTGGTTATCTTATAATAACATTTATGAGTTGTGTGTTGGAGATCCCTAAGACCTACTCCATGTTCAGTGATTTGCTAGGAGGGCTCATAGTTCCCAGGATATAATTACATTCATGGCTATGACTTATTACAGTGAAAGGATAAAAGCAAGATTGCAAAGGGAAAAGGCACATAAGGTGAAATTCAGAGGAAATAGGTGCAAACTTCCAAGGGTCCTCTTCCAGTGGAGTCACATAAGACAGCTTAATTCCTCCTACAATGTGTTGTAATAACATGTTGAAGTGTTGCCTACTAGGGTAACTCACTAGAGACTCAGTGACCAGAGTCTTTATCGAATGGTGGTCATGTGGGCATCCTCTGCTGCCGCGTACCAGAATTCCAAACTTCAGGAAGGAAAGCAGGTGTTCAGCATAAACCATATCGTTTTTACAAACGGATTAGGCCAGTTGGTCACTCTTACTAGGAAACTGGTGGAAACAGTTCTGAAATCCAAGTTCCTAGACACCAGCCACGGGCCAACCTTGTAAGGAGATCTTTAAAAAATGATAGCAGTCTTAGGCTTGTGTTAGCTCTTTTCTGTACACTCAGTTCCTCTTTTATGATAAAAGAAAATTAATTCCTAACCTAGTATTGTTGTGCAGATTAGAGAGAGTGAATGTTAAGCACAGTTTCTGACTCTTAGTGAGTGTATAATAAACAGTACCTCCTGTAGCTGTTATGACAAGGTGTGATGATCTCTAGCTCTTTTACAGATATACTAGTTGGGAAAACCAGAGTTTGCTATAAGGAAGAAATGAGAAAAATCTACCCTTCACTTCTCAACCAAGCAAAATGGTTTTCATTTATACTGAAACTATATTTCAGATATATAGAGGGTGAATATATGAGGGCTGTTTGATCTTTATTTTTCTGATTCTGCTAAAATATAGGTGGTATGAGAAATGAAGCCAACAGGTACAGACCCAAGGATCTTATCTCTAGCTGCTGAAGTTGCAAACAGTCCTGAGCAGAATGTCCCTGTTATACTGTTGAGGTTAAAAGGTAAGAAAATCTTTCTGTGATTGTCTAACACTTCTTAAGTAACAGTTCCATCATGGATACAATTTTAGAATTTGTTTTTAATTTGTTCAGTGAAATCTTAAAGTTGAGATAAAGCAGTGATGGCTTTTTCCTTTTTTAGTGTATTTTTAGTTATTCAACCTATAAAAATACAGATAGCTCTTGGTTTTATTGAGCAAAAAATAAGTATATCTTATTTCCTTTTGCCTTAGAAATAATGAACAACA